GGGCACGGTGCCAATCGTGGATCTGGCGATGCCATCTGCGATGAATAACATCGCCAGAGTCCCCGTTACATGAAATTAACAGCACACCCTTGTTATACCATACCCCTTTCCTACCTCCAGACGCCAGGCGCTGAACCTGACGCCACCCACCCGTACTCGCCCGACACGCGCAAAGGCAGCGGTGGAGGTCACCTGCTTCGCAGAAACAGGCCGCGTCGGCGCAGAACATCACAAACCAACTCTTTGCCTTGCTCGGGTGTAGTTCCAACCCGTGCTTGTTTGATGCCTTCATGATGTCGTCGAGCATCGCGGGAAAGGAGGCGGAGGAGAAGGAGGACAGGGAGGAGGAGGGGGAGGATGAGGAGGAGGAGGATGAAGAAAATGATAAACAGCCCCTGAACAGTTCTTGTCAACCGAGGTTGATTACAAGATCTGGCTGCAGGAGAGTCTTGCATTTAATACTGGCTCACGCACCACGTGGGAAATGCATCAATGTCGGTGCTTGTGAACATTTGCTATGCTATAATATGTTGTAACTCTTACCTCTGCCACTCGATGCCCTCGGGATGGGGCTTGCGCTGCAACCGAATCCGAAACGCCACGCATAGGTGGCAGGCGCAGGTGCCGGCGCAGCGGTGGAGGTGCCACTCTGAGGTGGGAATGCCGCTGCCGCTGCGGCCAGATCATGCTGGACACGCGGCCAGTAACCAGCCTCGAACTTATCCCTATCCCTAAGATGGGCGAGCAAAAAGCGAGGACAATCTTAGGGATAGGCCCTCAGAAACTGAGGGGATCCTTAAGATCGGCATCGAGGTGACGTGATGTCAAACATAGGGATATGGATCTGTTTCAAACTGGTAAGCCAGCGCTGAGATCCGACCGCTGAAATGTGGACGGCGCTCAGGCGGGCGCTTCCTTGCGAGGGCCTTCACGCCCCCTGCGAGCACTCGTCGGAGTTGCACGTCACCGCTGTTCCCGCGGCCAGGGTGCCCGGCATCAGGGAGGAGGAGGAGGAGGAGGAGGAGGAGGAGGAGGAGGAGGAGGAGGACCAGCAGCGGGACCAGCGTCAGGTTCGGCGCCCGGCATCAGGTTCGGGGGCGGGGGGGGGGGGCGCTTGTAGCTGCCTGTCCTCCGCCTCCTGCTCCAAGCTGGCCAGGGCACGTCTCCAGATGTGTGCGGGGGGGGCCTCAGGCAGGCTTGCGGAGGACGCCGCCATGGTCCCGAGAATCTCGGAGGGTCGTGGGTGATCGCGGACGCCCGCGGAGGCCTTTGGAAGGCCAAGCTTCCTGGCTCCGCCGAGTGATGCACCGGCCGCACAGGCAGGCTTACGCGAAGTCTCGACTGTGGGCAGATTGTCGTTGTTGGATCCTCCTGGCGGCACGTCCCCCCGCCCGCGCTGGCGTTTAATTACATGTTCGTTCGACGATCCTCGCCGCCCGTCCTGCGAGAACGCAAATTTGACCGCAGAGGGAAACACGAGTTACCGCGTCGGCAGCAAGGAATCTGAGATGACAAACTGGGACGACTACTGGAACAACATACTCAAGCTCTGCAGGTAATGGGTGGATGGTCACGCGCGCATGGCATGATATGGCATGGCATGGAATGACATGTTTCTTGGGTAGTGGAAGAACGTTCTGACGTTCTGACATGAGCTCAGATGCAAATATGTTATCTTTGGCATGGCCAAGGTTTAATAATACCACGTGCTCTTTCAATGTCGCAGATACGCATGGCGCTAGGGCGCGTGCGCCAGTCGTAGGATGTGGTCGAAACATACCCAGTGTATGTGCAGAAGGCGTGCAACCAAAATCAACTGATCGAAATTGATGCATGTTTTTTGCGGCGATCGAAACAGGAAAGTCACACGGCAACCGAAGAACGATGTGTCACTCGTTCTTCTTGTCCGCGCCGCCGCTACGGATACCGTACTGCACATACGTGTTCAAGAACGCGTATCTAGAGAACAAAGCAAATAACACACGATACCAAACCAGCTGAGACCAGTGAACCGCCAACGCCTGAAGACAAACGATTGGGTTCACGCACGTATACGACGCAATGCCGCCCCCCAACAACAAGTTCATCGCCCCTATATATTTCATAAGAAGACCGACTGATCTCAACATCAGCACTTGAAACGGTGCTGCACCAGTACTGGCCATAGCAGCATCATACGCACACCTCACTCCCAGACTTGTCGAAATATGATTCGGGTGCCCAGAGACGCCATAATCGTCAAACGTAAGAACCAAGTCCGCCTCTTGTCGCCGAACAAACTTGAGCACGTGATCAGATACCACATGCTGGGGCCACTCGTGGAATCCATCCCGCAACTCCGCTACATCTAGAACACTCAATGCATCTCCAAGAACTCCAATGCGCGCACACGACCGCTCCATCTCGCCTTTTCGTATGTCGCCAAGTCCATCCGCATTCCCTGTAGATAAACACAGGATACTAATCTTCATCCCTGCGCTCTGGAACTTCAACAAGGTCGGCCAGAAGAACATGACCTGGAGTGACGCGTGTGCTGCAAATCACAGACAACATCCCCCCCGAACTATTGAATGTCCCGTGCAACGAAGCGTGCCATGCAACCGCGTCTGCCTCTGGGGACGACAATCCACAAACAAGCTTGGAACACACAATGCCAAAGGCACAAACCAAGAAGTAAACAACGCCCGCGCCGCATTTCCACGGGATAATTTACGCTGGAGCAAAAGGGGGAACACAAAAGGGGGGACGGCAGTAGGTGCAATAGTTCGTTTGCCTGAACTATTGCGCGCGAACTATTGCGAGGGGGCACGAACTATTGCAAACCGCCTGAACTATTGCGCACGAAACAAGACGAAGCAACACCCGCGCGGAACTATTGCATCCACGCCGCAAACTTTTGCATCCAAACGCCAACTATTGCATGAACTATTGCGCCTACCCCGGTCCCCCCATTTGCGTTCCCCCCATTACTCATCCGTGCGATCTTCGAAGGATCCTCCCCCCCCCTCTGCTGCCCCCTTCCGGTCACACGGGCACCACCCATGCTTTCCGAGGGCCCCTGGAGCGTCGCGACGCCCTGGTGGCGCTCGCGGAGAGATCCAAGACGCCCGAGGTGGCTCCCAAGAAGGCCAGGGCAGGTCACCAAGTGGCCAAGATGGCTGAACATTGCCCCAAGATTGGCGGCGCGCAAAAGGGGGTAGGGGGAGGGGGGAAGGCTTCTTAGAAACACCCTGCTTCTTAGAAGGCCTCGGCCTTACGTCTGTAGAGAAGGCCCGCGCCTTCTAAGAAGCAGGGCTGCTTCTAAGAAGCCTTCCCCCCTCCCCCTACCCCCCTCAGCGCGTTGCCGACAAGAGGGACCCAACAGCTCCAAAGAAGGCCCCACGCACACCCAGGAGACCGCAGCAGGCCACCAAAACGCCCTAAGACGCTCTCCAGGAGAGCATTGTGAGGCCAACCGTATGGACTTTGTATCGATGCGTTCGGCCTCGACGCTATTCAATCGAGTATCGCTCCACGGTCTCCGGAAGCTCAACACGGCCCATTGAGAGCCCCAAGAGGGCCAGCAGATGGTCCAAAATGGCCCCGAGGTAGACCCAAGCTAGCCCAAGAGGGGCTCCTACGAAAGACCCAAGCTGGCCTAAGCTGGCCCCAAGCCGGCCCGAGAGGGCCACCAGACGGCTCCACGACGACCCCTAAGAGACCCCCGTACGACCAAAAAAGCGGCAAGAGAGCTCAAGAGAAGCCAGGGACGGCCAAAAAGGGCCCAAATACGACCGAAGAGAGCCCCAAGGAACGCCAAAGACTGCCCCTAAGAGAGCCGAAGACAGCCCCAAGACGAGCCGCATACGAGAGCTCTTCAAGAAGTGTAGACGCCAGGTAGCACATGTAACGGCCTTCTCGGCGACGCTCAAAATGTCGCCGCACAGTGTTTTGCTGGCGCGCTGGCGGATTTGCCGCAGGAGCCTGGACAAGTGTAGAAATCGGGACCGTGCGACTCTGGGGACCGTCCAACAAACCTCCCACTCCTAACCCACCTTGTATGCGATGCACCATAACAAGGAAAAGGTTCCGTAGATATTCGCCGAGAGACGCAAACAACGAAACAGCAGTTCCAAGCTAGCCCATAGTTCCTGAAAAGAACACCCCCTTGGCACGCCTTCTGTTGGCTCCGTCGCAAGTTCAGATACCTCGCCTGGTCTGGCCACGATCAGACTTGTGAGGTGCCGAGCTCCCAGGGCTACCGCAGCCGAGCTGACAGAAGGGTAAACGATCGCTCCCTGCCCGCAGCGAGGGGAGGGAGGGGCAGAGGAATACAGTCGGGGCGCTGACCTAAGGAACCCTAAATAAGGAGCGAGGCCCCTTTTCTCCAGAAGGTGAACTTCGATTTCCCTTCGAAAACCTAAGGAAAACGTGGGGCAAACTGTGAAACAATAGAGGAACACGGAGCCCCCCTACCCAACGAAAAGAGTTCATTCTTCAGCGCCCCGACTGAAATTCCCCTTCGCGCAAGTATGCCGCCGTGCTTCTTGCTCACAGAAGCATGCTCTGTTGACTTCTCTACGCTGGCTTCTGCCACCACGCGAGCCGCTGCATTTGGAGCGCCCGCGGCTTTCCGACAGCGCCGGTCGTTCGACCGCGGCCGACTCCGAGCCGCTGGCGGCGTTCCGCCTCGAACGCCCGCGCGGGGGGCCGTCGCCGCGTCGACCCGAAAAGAACTCGCAGTCCGCGCGCGACCACAAGGATATTCTTTTATAGGCAGCATAGAGGACCACTTCGTGAAATATTCACCTGCACGTGATAAGTACGTATATTACACTCGAGAGCTGACAGGTCACTAGTGCCTCGCTGTCACGCCGCAGAGCGTGATCCCACAATGGGTAGTATGCGACCACAAGGAACGCAGGAGAAGGAACGAAGCTTCGGTGGCCACTCATGGGAGCCTCCCATACCACCTTGCCCGCTCTGGCGAATCGAGGCCGATCGACGCTAGATCGACGCCGACTCGACACTAAATCGACGCTGAATCGACGCTGATCGACGCGACATCGGCGCTATCCCAGCGACTCTCAGACGCTGATAGACGCTAAAGTCATAATTAAAAGGCCTCATCATTCGCAAGCGAACGCAACAGAACCTACCAGCTGCAGAAATATTATCCCCCCAAACGGTTGTCAAATCTCTGATCATTGCTAGAAAGCTCAAACTCCTTAAACATATGTTTTGTTTGAGGTCGGCCGCTGGAAGTCGATCGATAGAAATGCCAGTCTCCCATGGTTTGCTTCGGAACGACTGGGGCTCTCCTCGGCCACCGGCAGGTTCCTGGGGGCCCGGATCGAGGGCGCGGCGCGAAGAGCGGAGCCCCGCTGGAGCCTTAGGTTTTAGTTGGCCTTCTTAATATAGGTGGGTATTGAAAGAATAAATAGTTAAGGAATAAAAAACATGGTCAGAAGAGCACGAAAAATCGTCACTAGACTATTGTGATTGACCCGAAACGGGGTCCAGCTGAGAGGGGGGGGGTGCAATTGATGTGGGGCAATGGTGCTGCAAAAGTGATGCGCTAGAGAACGGTGTTGTATTGTCTTGCAGCTAACGTATTGCACGCGACAGCCCGGCAATACATTTGCGCACCGGAATGTACTGCACGCCCCAAATCTATTGCAGCCCCACAAACCTACTGCACCGAATACATTGTACCAACCCCCGTTCGCTGGGCCCCCTCTTGGGGAAACCAGAACTATGTGCTTAACGATTCTTGGATATTCCTCCTGTAGAGGGACATGCCCGACTTGACCTTTGGCGCTCCTTCCACCAGCGTCGTGACTGCGCCATCATCGAAAACACAAGTTGAGACCCACGCGGGTCTGGGCGGTGGACAAACCTCCCTTCAGTACCACCCTTTAGTGAAGACGCCTAGGACCGAAAACGACGGACCCGGACCCGCAAAAATGACGGCCGTGACGCCCTCTCGCGAGGCGAAAATGGCCAATTCACTCATCGACGCGTCGGGGTAGGAGGCCTGTCAACCTCCGAGGGCCTCTTGGGCCGACGCCGGGCCGATCCCCCCCCCCCGGGCGGCGCCCCCCGCGCGCCCCCCGCCGCGCGCCCCGCACACGCCATACGCCATGGGAGGGAGGCCCCGCGCCGACCAGAGGCGGGCCTCCCCGAACGCTGGCAAGAGGCGGGCGAAAGGGGGGTAGATAGCAAAGGGGGGGGGGGAGAATCAGCTCACGTAGCTGATTCTCCCGGCGCCTCCCGGCGCCGGGAGGCGCCCATGTACAGTCGGGGCGTTGACCTAAGGAACCCTAAATAAGGAACGAGGCCCCTTTATTCCATAAGTTAAACTTCGATTCCCCAACGAAAACCTAAGGAAGACATAAGACAAACTGTGGAACAATTGAAGAACACCGAGACCCTCCCCAAAGAAAAGGGTTCCTTCTTCAGCGCCCCGACTGTATCGAGGAATGGGCCCGGCGGCGGGGCCGAAACCAGCTGCATGCAGCAGATTTCGTACCCCCCCCTTTCCCACCCCCCCCCCTTTCGCCCGACCCGATGACCAGAGGCGGGCCTCCCCGAACTTTCTGGCCACCCCGTGTGAACCAGGGCGCACGGTAAGGAGGGACCGGAGTCTGGGCGAGGGCTGGCACATCCGCGGCTGCTAAAGAGGTCTTCCCGGAGGAATAAAGAAATCCAGGAATACAACGCAGCGCGCTAAAGTTTAGCGCGCTAAAGTTTAGCGGCTAAGCAGTAGACGCGCTGCTTCCCGGAAAAGAGAAACAGAACACAATCTCCCGGAGCTCCGTCTGAGCAGCCACGCGGGCTCGCCAGCCCCCGCCTGGCGTCTGAACGTGAGAGCTTTGGCAGGTCACGGCTCTGTGTCTCTCCACGTCCTTGCCCGCACCGGCGCCGCAGATCACATCGGTAGCGGGCACCCGCAGGAGCAAAAACGCACTCCGAGACCCAGAAGGGGCCTCTCGGAGGGCGCGCAGGCCCCGCGCTCGCAGGGACGGCCCCCCAGGGAGGACGACCAGGGAACGCAGATGAAGACGGCGGGGCCGAAGGGGAAGAAACGACAGCCCCAAGGGGCAGAAACGACAACGCGAGGGGACGGGAATAGAGAAGGGGGGCGACAGAACGACGAGGGGCCTTGGAGGAGCATGTCGACACCCTGCAAGCTGGGCGCGGCCAGCGAAAGCGGCCAAGGATGGGCCGAAAGGGACGGGTGCAAGGGGACCATTAGAAAGTAGCTCATCCTTTCTGTGCGGGTTGACAGTCTGTTGCTGCCGATTCTGTTCTTCGACGGGCGCCCACCCCAGAGAATGGGACTTTCCCCTGCGGGTCCTATCGACGCTGGGTCATCGGACACCCCCGTCGGGGTTCGGCTGGCTGCGGACATCCTTCAGACGCTGGCCCCCCGCCAGGGTCTCAGAAATCTGACCTGCAGGGGGAAAGGTTCACATGCGCCTGCCTCCCCCGACCCCCGACCGCCGACGTCATGATTGTTTGCGCAGCGTCGACCCCCAAAGGACTCGACCCTCCCAAGGACCGGCCGGTTTTGCACCTTGAGCCGTTTTTTTGACGGCCCCGAGGCCCAGTAGGGGTCCCCAGATGCCGAAGAAAGCGAACACCTCCCGCCGACCCCTTCCGCAGGACCGGTTCTACATCCTGAGTCGTTTTCTCACGCCCCCGACGCCCGGCAGGGGCCCCCAGAGGCCGAAGAGGGCGATAAACCTTCCGTCGTGAGTCTTTTGTCAACCTGTCTGTGGGAACCGCCCGTGACCCACCCGCGACCCACCCGCGACCCACCCCGCGACCCATCTGCGACTCGCGCGCGACCCACCCCCGACCCACCCCGCGCCCGCCCCCTTTCGTCTTAACCGCAGCTGCGGGGCGCTACAGACTCAGCCTGTGGTTGAATGTACTCCAGATTTCGTAATAAAGGGAGGGGGGTCTCATTTCGGGCGGGGTCTCTTCCAGGCTATCTTGGAGGGCCTGGGGGGGTCTGGGGACGGTGTTTTGGAGGGTTCTCCCACGGGGGGGGGGGTCTGAAATGGCTTGTCTTGGAGGGTCCAGACCCCCTCCCTTTCATTACGAGATCTGGATTAAGTCAGGAGGGCCACCCCCTTCAGGTTGCAAGACGGACGGAAAGCCTCCCCCCACCCGCAGGGCTGCAAGGCTCGGCCAGCCTCGTCGTCCGGGTGCGCGACGACGAGCGCCACCCGGCGGCCCGCCTCTCGGGGCGGGGCGGGCAGGAACGACGACGACTTGGTGGCGCGCACAAGGGGGTGGGGGGAGGGGGGAGGGCTTCTTAGAAGCAGGCTGCTTCTCAGAGGGCGCCGGCCTGACATCTATAGATAAGGCCTGCGCCTTCTCAGAAGCAGGGGTGCTTCTGAGAAGCCCTCCCCCCTCCCCCCACCCCCCCCTGCGCGTGGCTGGACAACGACGACGACGACGACGACGGCGACGGCGACGACGACGACGGCAAAGACGACGACGGCGACGGCGACGACGGCAAAGACGACGCGGCTGCGGCGGGCCGCGCCGCCACGTGTCGGCCCGGGCCAGGGTCGGTCCACCGGGCCCCCACGACGCGCCACGGGTGGTGGTGCTCCTGTGTGCACCCGGTGCGCCCCTCGATCCCCTGGGCCCCCTATTCCTGCTCCTCCTCCTCCTCCTCCTCCTCCGCCTCCTCCGCCTCCTCCGCCTCCTCCTCCTCCTCCGCCTCCTCCTCCTCCTCCGCCTCCTCCTCTCCTCCGCCTCCTCCTCCTCCTCCTCCTCCTCCTCCTCCTCCTCCTCCTGCTCCGCTCCTCCTCCTCCTCCTCCTCCGCCTCCTCCTCCTCCGCCTCCTCCCTGCCCTCCGCCTCCTCCTCCTCCTCTCCTCCTCCCCGCCTCCTCCGCCGCCTCCTCCTCCGCCTCCTCCTCTCCTCCTGCTCCTCCGCCTCCTCCTCCTCCTCCTCCTGCTCCTCCGCCTCCTCCGCCTCCTCCTCCTCCTCCGCCTCCTCCTCCTCCTCCTGCTCCTCCGCCTCCTCCTCCGCCTCCTCCTCCTCCTCCTGCTCGTGCATCGTGGTTGCCCCGTCCAAGAGCGGGTGGGTGACCATCGGCCAGGATGCGTCTTTGGCAAGCAGCGCCCGAATGGTAAGGGCTGGCTGCGAGCTGGCGATCACGGTCTTATCGAGGGCCCCTGAGGAGCGCCTTCGTCCTTTGGATGGTCAGTCTTCGAATGGAGATGCTACTTCAGAGCTAGGGTGCGCCTCTTCACCGTCTTCCTTGTCTTAACATTATACCCGGCATGTTCTCGTACAGGCGGACTTGGGAGAAAAACTACAAGTCATCAAAACATCAGCCGATCCGGCGTGTGAGCTTCTGAGAGCGTGGGCTTGAGCTCGCTCAAGCTTCGCTCTGTCGGTGGGGGGCTGACGCCATGACTGACGCCATTCAGGCCTGGGAAGGGGGAGGGGGGGCGGGAGCTCGCTCAAGCTTCGCTCTGTCGGAGGGGGGGCTGACGCCATGGCTGACGCCATTCAAACCGGTGGGGGAGGAGTGGGGGGATTGGGGGACGCGGGGGCTAACGCCATTCATGCCCTGGAGGGGGGAGTCGGGCGGAGGGGGGGGGGGCTGACGCCATGGCTGAACGACGTTCGGCCCAGGAGGGGGGAGGGGGCGGGGCGCTCAAGCTCGCTCTGTCGGGGGTGGGGCTGACGCCATGGCTGACGCCATTCAACCCAGGAGGGGGAGTGGGGGGAGGGGGGGACGCCATGGCTGACCCATTCATGCCCGGGAAGGAAGGGAGTGGGGGAGGGGGGGACGCCATGGCTGACGCCCATTCATGCCCGGGGAGGAGGAGTCGGGGGGGGGGCGGGGGGGCTGCCGCCATGGCTGACGCAATGCAGGCGGAAGGCCTGGAATGGGGAGTGGCCCAAAGGAGGCTCGCTCAAGCTTCGCTCTGTCGGGGGGGAGAGGGGGCTGACGCCATGGCTGACGCCATTCAGGCACAGGAGGTGGGAGGGGGGGAGGAGGGGCTGACGCTATGGCTGACGCCATTCAGACCCGGGAGGGGGGAGGGGGGGGGGGGGAGCTCAAGCATCGCTCTGTCGGGGATGGGGAGGGGGGGGCTGACGCCATGGCTGACGCCATTCAGGCTCGGGAGAGGACATGGGGGGGGGGAGGGCCGACGCCATGGCTGACGCCACTCACGCCCGGGAGGCCCACGGCCCCGAGAAGTCCCCGTATCTCTGTGTTCATATGCTGTTTCCCTGCTTTCCTCTTCGGGTCCTAAATGGCAGTCGGGAAGCTGATACATCCTGGGGCCATTTCTGCTGAGGCTTATATTATACTCTAACTTAGAGAGCCAAGACGAGGAGGGGGCCGCCCGCGGGTCGGGAGAGGGACGGGTCGCCAGCGGGCCATCCCGCATCGGATCGACATACTGGGCGCTGCTCAACGGGGGGGCGACAAGCGGGGGGGGGAAGAAACGCGCACCGTTCGTGCCCTATGTGGGCCTCATGGGGAACCACTTAAGGCCCCTTAGGTGTGCAGACAATGCACCTCCTCCTCCTCCTCCTCCTCCTCCTCCTCCTCCGCCTTCTCCGTCCCCTTCTCCTCCTCCTCCTCTTCCTCCTCCTCCTCCTCCACCTCCTCATCCTCCTCCTACTCTTCCTCCTCCTACTGCTCCTCTTCTTCCTTCGCGACCTCCTCCTCCTCCTCCTCCTCCTCCTCCTCCGCCTCCGCCTCCGCATCCTCCTCCTTTCCCCTCCCCCATCCCTCATGCCATCCCTTCCTCTGCCGCCCGAATGTAACATTTTGTGGCGAACCCTCCATTTCGTGGCTCCACATGGAGCCCCCCCCATGCATCGCTCCCCCCTTTGCGCAACGCTCGAACTCGCATCGCCGCGCCTGGCTGCGGGTGGCCCCAGCCTTAAGAAGACCCCCCGGAGCGGCAGGGACAGACACACTCCTCACCGTGCGCCAGGCGGCGCATTGGCCACTCATTCTCCTTCAGCGTGCTCTGAAATTGGAAGTGAAACCGCAAAACAGCGCAAGGCAAAGGGAGTCCTGTCTCTGATGTGCAAGCAGAAGAGGAAGAGGGGGAGGGGAGAGGGAGGGGGAGGAGGAGGAAGAAAAAGAGGAGGCGGAGGAGGAGGAGGAGGAGGACGAGGAGGAGAGGAGCTTG